CCAAGGGGATTGGATCTGTGTTCACCAGGAGTTGGTGAAAGGAAGGAGGGGGAAGGGTTAATTTCTCCTTGTTTTAGATCCAAGGGGATTGGATCTGTGTTCACCAGGAGTTGGTGAAAGGAAGGAGGGGGAAGGGTTAATTTCTCCTTGTTTTAGATCCAAGGGGATTGGATCTGTGTTCACCAGGAGTTGGTGAAGGGAAGGAGGGGGGATGGTTAATTTCTCCTTGTTTTAAGATCCAAGGGGTTTGGACCTGTATTCACCAGGAAATTGGTGAAAGGTTTTTCTCAGTGCTTCCCAGGGTGGGAATCTAGAATTGGGAAATGGTGGCAGCGGAACCAGAGCTAAGCTGGTAGTTAAGCTTAGAAGTTTTCATGCAGGCCCCTACATTTGTACCCTAAAGTTCAAAGTGGGGATCCAGCCTTGACAGTAATACAATGTGAGGCCTATCACCTGCTGTTTTGTTCCTCATTCCCTCTGCCAGCAGTGATCTTCCAAGTGTATTTCCTTTTGTTAGGGCTTGGCAAGACTGGAGCTTATTGTCTGATCCTAATTGAGTCTTCTGCAAACACACAAAGTGTGGACTTTTCTGAGCTTAGCTCTGAACTGGGAAAATAATGAAAGGTTTGCTAAAACAGAATCCTGCATGCATCAATTGCGCAACAAAGCCCAGTCTCAAAGGGAGGAGCGTCTTTTCAAGAGCTCCAAATGCTGACTGCCAATAACTAAGGCATTTAACTTAGTTATCCTTGTGACCAAAAAGGCTACTTTCATCAAGATTCACGCAACTGGCTTAAATACCAATGGTGATTTCCTAAATCACTTGTCTAGAGTCCTTGACAACAAATTTCTGCTACTTGCACCCTCATGCTACCAATCTTAATTGCCTCCATAATAAAAGTATCATAGAGGTTCACCAGAGTAACTGTTGATCAGATATTAAACTTCCTCCAGGACATAGCAAATGGAATGACGGACAAATCAAATGAATAACGACAAACGGGAATAACTGACTAGGTGGTAGTAACTCACAAATTGAATATAAATCAGCAATTGTGAAAAGGCCGCAATGATTCTGGGGTGTTTTAACAGGAGTTGTATGCAAGACACGGGAGGTAATTGGCCTGCTTTATTGGGCACTGGTGAGACCTCAGCTGGAGTACTGTGTCTAGTCCTAGTGCCACACTTTAGGAAAGATGTGGACAAATTGGAGAAAGGCCAGAGGAGAGCAACAAAGAGGTCAGGTTTTTCTAAACCTTTTATCATATGAGCAAAAGTCAAAAAAATGTGGGCATGTTTAGTCTTGCGAAATGAAGTTGTGGGGGAGGAGTAATGAGACCTGATTAGTCTTCAAGTATGTTAAGGGCTGTTATAAAGAGAATAGTGATCAATTGTTCTCCACATCTACTGATGGCGGAACAAGAAATAACAAGCTTAGTCTGCAGTAAGGAAGATTTAGGATAGATATTAGGAAAAACTTTAATTATAATGATAGTTAAGATCTGGAACAGGCTTCCAAGGGAGGCTGTGGACTCCCCATCACTGGAGGTTTTTAAAAACAGGGTGGACAAACATCTGTTAGGGATGATCTAGGTTTACTTAGTCCTGCCCCAGCACAGAAGGCTGGACTTGACTTCTCAAGGTCCCTTCCAGCCCTACATTTTTATGATTCTATGAATATATTCTCAGCTCAAGACCACATTTGAACTATAAGAAACAGCTCTTCCCCTCATTTGATATAACTGAAATGAAGCAAGCTATAAGATTATCTGACAGTGCTGAGTTCTGTCAGCTTCTACTTACAAAGCAAAAACACAACACTGCCAGTTTGCCTAGCGCTCTGAGGGGCTGATGGACGTGAAGGGTGAGGGTGGAAGGGCTGGGGGCTGTTTATGTGGTGATAATGGTGGGGACGTGGATTGAATTGGAGCTTAGCACCTCTGCACCATGTCAACAAAACTTGAAGGGCTCAACCCAGTGCTGTGGCCTCATTTCATGCACCAGTGCCAGGGATAATGGTGTTTCTGCAGATAGAGGGCTCCCTACTGGACTGCCAAGGAAGCCAAGGCAGCAATGCCAGGTTGAGCCCTTCAGAAGCTGATTTATCAGTAAAGGAAGAAAAAAAGTAAGTAGAAAAGACCTCAGATCTGATGAACAATAAGAACACAGCAACTTTCTGCTTTGCTCCTTTCTCTGCCACCCTTAGCCACACCCAGCTCGAACTCCATTCACTCCCATGCCCTCTTCTTTCATGTCCCCATACTTCCAGCCCCTATAGTTCTGCCCCTCAATTGACAGGCCCTTTCTCCTGGTCACAAAGTATCATAAAGAGGTGAGAAGGAGGAGCTTAAATGGTTGCTCCTTAGTGGCAAATTCTCAGCTGATGTAAATTGTAACTGCTGGATTAAGGACAGTAGAGCTATGCCAATTTACACCAGTGGATCTGCCCCATAACTTTCAGCTGTTATATTGGCAGGATCTGAACTTGCCCAACATTAACTAAGTTTATTGCTTAAGTCTGGAATGTCAACATGGGCTTATTGGTACCTATGATGTCAAATATTTTTTCCCCTTTCATAACAAAATTTCAATAAAGCAGCTTGGAAAAGTTCTAAAATGCAGAAATATTAAATTTATTCATACATCATAGCAGGAATACCAATGGTAAGACATCTTGCATTACATTCTCCCCTCTTTAAAAAACACAATACAGTATACTGTTCTCCACAATAAGTTACATAAAAGCAAATTTTATGTACATATAAAAAAAGATCAGTGAATAACACTATTTTACACAGCATTTTTGCATTCAGAAGTCACATATTTTAATCTCTACTTGCCCTTAAGTGTTTGAAACTAAAACTGATTTAAAAAAAAATCCAAAATTAGTTGATTTAGTGAGTGGTTTTCAACTAATTTCTAAATTTGTGGAGACTGCAGATGCAACTCTCCCACACTCCCCACTAAATTAGTGAATCTTAACATTCACCTGAAAACAAAGGATATAAAAAATGGTGAATCTAATCATACCCTACAAAACAACAGAAGACAAGTAACCCGCTTTTATTTAAATTGCTTGTCTTTGTACATCCTGAAATATGCAAGAGGAATTTTTTTTGGCCCGTAGCTAGGATAAGCAAATGGTACATGTCCAGCTTACATTTGCATTGATATCAAACAATATTAACTATTCTAGAATTCCCCTTTAAGAGATTTTCATACGTCCCTTTTTCCTATAAATTCTTCTCTAATGTGAATTATATGGATAGCTGTTAATACAGTGAATTTAATTAAATTATTGCCATGAAATCAGCAACCTAATTAACATACTAATTAAGCTCTTGTGTACATTTTCCCAATGAGTTTCATGGTCATGTGTGTTTAGTTTTTATCCTGGAATGTGTAAGTATGGTATCTAAAGTTACAGTGTAATGAGCAAGACAGAGTGTAACAATACTTGGCAGACAAGACAAAATATTGTCCATTAATGCAATCCTTACCTTACAATAATGCAAATATGAAAAAAATTTTATCAGAGGTGAAAGAGTGTTTGGTCATGCATTCTGCTGCTATATTTGTCCATAAAGTTAATACTGTAGAACCTTTCATTGAAAAAATTACTTTCAAAAGTTATCTCAGGTGCCTGAACTGGTGAGATATGTAGGTAACAGAATACCAGACAAAAGTTAAAAACTCTTCTTCACTGAAAGAGGCACTGAATTTGTAAGCTGAATTAAGGCTGTAGAATGATGCTGGTTCATTGTGAGTTTAAAGTCTTCGGTCTTGCATTAAAAATCCTTTTAATCTATTGCTTCACTGTTAGTCCTATAGGCCTGTTTACGGAGATGGGTCTCAATCTCCTCCCTGAAGACCAGCATTCCAAGGTGCGAGTGAGATGCTTCATTCATGGCTTTAGACTGGATACACATGCGATACTGCTCTGGAGTCAGCTCATCAACACAATGCTTCTCATGCCAGAGGTGAAACAGGCCTGGGACTGGGGTCCGGATCACAATAAGGTCTCCGTGCAAGTACTTTCTGTAAAGGTGAACATCCTCTCCACCCCAGCCTTTCACTTCCAAGTCAAACCCCCCTATAGTAGCACAAACAGACACATCGGACAACATTAGTTTTGCAGAATGAAAAATGAGCTTTAACATAAACCACCATTCTACCACATTCTGCAGATATTTACCACTTAAAATATCACTTAATGACACTTTTACAGCAAATACCAACAGCACATGCCATATTAGTGGAGTAACTCAAAACACGCAATGCTGTTTGGCAGTGGAAACTGGCTTTCACCATGGGACACTGATTTCTGGCATCACACAGGTTATAGCAAGACTTCGAAATGGAATAATGTGGTCCATTCACATTGTGCATAAAATCGGTGATAGTTAAGGCTACGATTTTGTCAGACGTCATGGAAGTCATGGGTTCCATGACTTCCAAAGACCTCTAACTTCAGCCCCAGCGGCTGGGAGCTGCAGGGTCCCACCACCTCCCACAGCGTCAGGGAGCTGTGTGGTACCCCCACTGCCTGAGTTAGCAGAGCCCCTAAGCTCTGAGCTGCTGCAGGCAATGGGGAACCCCTGCAGCTCCCTGGCCGCTGCGGCAGGGGACCCCTGCAGCTCTGAGCCCCCATCGATGGTGGGGGCTCCCAGAACTCCCAGCCACCCCACAGCTGCCCAGCCCCTTCCTATTTTATCATGGATATTTTTAGAAAAGTCAGGGACAGGTCTGCAGTGAACTTCTTTATTGCCCATGACCTGTCCCTGACTTTTACTAAAAATATCCATGACAAAATCTTAGCCTTAGTGATAGTATCTGTGACAACTACTGCAGTTCTCATGAATATGAATAATGGGTAAGTGTTTTCTAATTTTAGAAACTGCAAATAAGGTGATCAAGCATCGTGTGATCATCCAACTCTATGGACCACAAGTGCCCCAGGCACCACAGTTTGAGAAACTCTTGATTAAAAGAAGTCCATGAAGCCATGTTTCTAGCCAAAAGCATAGTAGAAGTTATGCTGATATGCAGATGAAAAAAGCTAGGATTATGTATTGTGTATCATCTAATATACCACAAACATAAAGCAATAGGATTGTTACTAGAAATCAGTTTTTTTTTTAATATATTACTTCAGTTTCAAAACAGCCTTCCTCTTGGTGTCAGCCATAATTGATTGATTGTGGTAAGTTACCTAGAAAATCTTGCACTTGCCCTCAGATGCTTTTATTTAATATATATATATAAAATTATGTTTTGAAACTGAAGTAATCAATCCTCGCTAAGTTCTAATGTTGAACCACAAGAGGGTGCCAAAGTATATTTCAAAACTTTAAATAATCACAATACTCATGTCAACATTTAATACTTAAAAGTGCGCTTATTAAAAGGAAAGGATATCATTTTTAAAAACAGATTAACATGTACTACAAATTTCAAAAGCTTGGTGAATTCACTGTCAAACTAATACATTTGCAAGTAGTAAGATATTTTACTTTATGTTCTTTAACGCTATTAATGTAATGCTATTGATACTTAAATTGTTAAACCAAGACTTTAACAGTCTAAAACAATAAGTCAAACCTAACAAGCAGAAACTTTGACTGGGGAACTCAGGAAATGAAATAAGATAAATTAACATTTTACCTTCTTGAAATCACAGAAGAAAATAGTAATAGATGAGCTTTTGAATTCCCCTCACCAAAATTCGCAAAAAAACACTTATGTAAATTCATCTTACCAACAGTCAGGAAATCTGTCCGATATTGACACGTCATTCCAAAGCCAAAATCCCGCCAGAAGCCAGAATCCTTTTTGTGTACCTACAATTTTAAAATGAACATTTTAGCTTTTCCCCCTTATACAAGACAGCTTGAAGAAAATGTTGTGGCTGTGTCATTTTAGGAGAATCTGTATTTATCTGGTTATTTTCTTGGCACAACATTTGATATTTGTGTTTCACAGTGTATATACCTGCTGTTTGTTCTAGTTACGGGTCATCAACACCTAACATAAGGGCCTCATAAGGAATGACAGACCTATTAATTTAGAATACCCAGAAACCAGTCAGTAATTCTCTTTCCTGCCTTTATCTTCACACACATTCCTTTTGCAATCTCCAATCCGGCCTCCCTACTGCTCTCCTTCTGCTTCCCACCTGTCTGTTGATGCCAAGGGGTCTAACTTTCATATTCACCTATTTTACAGCTAACTCCCTCTGCTCCCCATCTCCCTAATTCCAACACTTCTCCCGCCACATTGGCTTCCTCCTTCCTTGGTCTCATGCTATTTATCCAGACATTTTGCAGTCTGACAACTAGGCAGACTTCTTGCAGTTTAAAGTTCACTCTTCTGTCAACTAGGATCTCTTCTCTCTTTAAAAACCAGACACACACTGCCGCATTACTCCCTTCTAAAGGGCTCTGTCTACCAATCCTTCTGGGCTCTTTTTACGAAGTCTTGTTGCTGCTGCTTCTTTCATCTCTCAGAAACCCATCCCCTTTACGCAGAGTCCCTATTATTAAACCCTTGTCTGCACTCTGGCCATCTCTTATTTTGATGTATGTTGCTCTCTGATGTCCAGGCTCACGGCCTCTCACTGCTCCTTCCCTTCCCCAGTCTGCCAAGAGTAGGGGTGAGCAAACTACAGCCCGCAGGCCGGATCCGGCCCACGTGATTGCCACCCCTGTGGTGCCACGGGCCCTATGCCACGCCCAGAAGCGGCCGGCGCCACGTCCCTGCGGTCCCTGGGGAAAGGGGGGCAGAAGGCTTCATGCGCTGCCCTCGCCTCCAGGCACCGCCCCCAGCAGCTCCCATTGGCCGGGAACAGGGAACTGCAACCAATGGGAGCTTCAGGGGAGGAACCGCAGAGCCCTCTGCCCCCCTCCCCCCCGACCCAGAGCCCGCAGTAAGTGGCGCCAGGCCGGAGCCCACACCCCAAACCCCCCTCTTGCACCCCGCACCCAACCCCCCTGCTGCACCCGAGCCCCCTGCCGCGCCCCCTGCCTCTCGCCTCCTGCACCCCAACCTCCTGCCCTGAGCCCCCTCGTGCACCCAACCCCCTGCCCTGAGCCCTTCCTGCACACCACACCCCACCCTCCCCGCCCTAGCCCTACACTCATTGCCCTGCATGCTATTTCCCCATCCAGCTGTCGCCCTTGGGCCAAAAAGTTTGCCCACCCCTGGCCTAGAGTTCTGTTGACAAGTGGTTTTCCACTCAGGCCATTTCCGAATCTCTCCACGGGCTTCCTACCTCTTAGCACATCAATGCAGGCTCTTTGTACTTTCTTCAGAGGCCCTACATAATCCTGGCATCACCTACATTTTAGTCTTCCTTACCATCAGTAACCTCCCACTTTTGTTCTCTCACTTAAAATAGTCTCCTCATCCCCATCCAACAGACTCTCCTTTCCTTGTCTTCCTAGTAACTCCAACACCTGTGTCTCGAATGATTGTCCAATGTTTGTTTTATTTAGATTGCAAGCTCTTCAGGGACGCCGTATTTCCTGTTTGTAAAGCACTATATAAATTAATGGCACTACGTAAGTGTTTCTAATGGGATTCTGGCTGCTGTTGGATGGTGGGGGTAAGATAGCCCTGCACAGAAGGCAGCAAGAAGCCCAGCGCTTTTGTTAGTACATTAGGTGAGGGAGACAGATAGCACAGCTAGAGATGCAGTACTCCCCTCTGCTGAACTGTGAGGGTAAAGAGGGCCATACACCTGATCACCACTCAGTAGCTAGCATTCTTGGGCCAGTGTTCAAAGGAGCCCATGTTGCACCTTCCAAAGAGGAGGGGTAGGAGCTACTCTTCAGTGTCCTCCTTTCACCTGCCCAACAATAGCAAGAGACATTCTGCATGTTTCATTACTCAAGGAGATTACCTCCAGCAACTGCCACTTGATGTAGTACAGTTCTCCCATCACACTGTGACAATGGCTTTAAAAACCACAATACAGCCTTTGAATTACAAACTGCTAACTGTGTTTGGTTAGTTTCTTAGTCCACTAAATTCTGTGTGGAAGCTAGATGTATCCAGAAATACTGGCGTTTTAGCACTTTCCATTACAATGTTTGTCTCCCAAGCTCTTATTCTTTTACGTCTAATCAATATAGGAAAAGTTCTGTTTCATATCATTGTCAATGTGTCTGATAAATATCTAGGATATTTTAGATATGCTGCTACACTGAACTGCCTCATTAAGATGTAGCACAATGCTCTAAACTTCTTTAAAAAATCAGAACACTTACCAATTGCTGCTCCACAGGTGGTGGTACATCTTGGTTGGCATAGACAATAGCAGGATTATAAAGGCTGAATACCACGGGATAGAAAACTTTCTTGCCTATAAAGTCAGAAGAGCTTTGTTACTCCTAGTGGGACATCTTTGTGAGTGAAAAGGGCAGCTGTGACGTATTGCTTTCACGGGGAATATTCATTATTAATCTATTTAACGAAAAAAGCATAGGCACATGGCCTGCCTCCCATAATTTCCATTTAGAGAGCCCATTAATATCTAGCAAGAGTGACATATAGAAAAGAAATGGTATACAGCCTCTAACATGATGCTGTGCTAAGGTGGACATGGATTCCAGGGCTTCCATAGGACCCCTAAGGTAACAGTATAAGAGTATGAATGCTAAGAGGGACATTAAGACCATCAAAATCAAACAGCCATCCACCAGAAAGTTTAGGCAGATAGAGTTTTAGAACCACCTCTTTCCTCTGTCAATTTGGGAGGTTTAACTTTCTGCTATGGCCCTTGCAGTGACAGTTATGTTTATTTTTGATATGCTGGGATACCAATTTGCAACTGCTGAGTACTCCTCCAGCTTTAGATAGGCAGGCAGGTGAGGTAAAGAAGGTGTGTCCAATATTCCACACTATGCCTGCCACAGAGTTTTGGATGATACTTACGACAGCCCTTACATACACTGGGAATCCGCATGCACTGTCTGCTTCTCCAAAGCCAGTGACTTAGGTTGGGAGAAAGCCTCAAGTATTCCTTCCCTTGTGCTGCTGCTGGGGCACCTTTTCAGAGAGGCAGCCTCAGCTTTGCTTTCCATGTAGATTCAGTTTAAGAGGGCCTTAAGACCAGGATCCAAAGCCATATTGAAGGCACTTGTGGATCCTCACTGTTCCTTTGTCTCACCAAGGCTCTTTCTTGAGTAGTATAGAACGGTTACTTACCTTCTGTAACTGTTGTTCTTCGAGATGTGTTGTTCACGTCCATTACACATTAGGTGTACGCGCGCCGCGTGCACGGACATCGGAACTTTT